CATCTGCCTGAGGAAGATCCCGAGAGGTGATATTGACCCGGAGCTGCAACGGTACCTCCCTTTACGGACAGAGCACCGCACGCGGGGGCACTCTCTTACGTTGTGGAAACTTCAGTCAGTTGTTCTTCCGTTAGTCTACCGACTCTCATGTAGGTCAACAACACTCGAATTCCCTTCCAGCGATTGTGGTGGAAGAGAAGACAGACGCTGCTTTCTGAATGAGCACCTGAAGGGGCTATGGAGGAACGAACATTTGTGATCGGACCTTCGACCCNGGTGGAAGAGAAGACAGACACTACTTTCAAACGGCGTCTGGATGAGCACCTGAAGGGGCTAAGGAGGAACGAACACTTATTATCGGACCTTCGAATCAATGGTGATGAGGCTTACACGGGCACCCTGCCCTCTGCCCTCAATCCTGAAGACTGAAGGGTCAATAGGTTAAGCAATATGTTCCGTTTATGGTAATGTCAAGGAAGAAAATATCATAGTTGATTTCCTGATAAATTTGAACCAATATCCTGACACAGTTTTGTTCTTTTTATAGATAAAACCACTTCTGGCTTATCAGTGCGGTTCCAATTTGTTTCGCAGGCTATATTGATCTCTGAGGCTGTTTCTAAATAGCACTTGACTGATTTATATTTAATGAGTGTGGATGGTGAATTTTCGCTTTTGTTGATAATCTGTTTGAAAAGCTGCCAGGACGAAATACGCATCTGAGTATGACTTATTGAACGTTTTGCTATCCGGTTTATTCTGGCTATTTTTGTACATCCTGATTAACTTCGTATTTTTCCCTGTAACTTCATTTGTTGAGTTTCTAGGAAGCGTGCTTCTAGACGGTTTGGATGCATACAAAACGTCAGTCGCGAAACGACCGATCGGCTCACTTGTGGGGAGTGTCACAGATTTAAAGTTGGTCACTCACTGGTGGCCGGTTCTTTGGTCAATGTACTGAAATAACCAACTAAGGATGTCTTCTGTTCCACCAACACTGTGTCCTGATGCAGAGATGAAAGACGTTTGCACTTGTTTGCTCTAGGTTCACATAGGGATACTGATAAAGTTTTCGGGGATCAATGTAGGCATCTGAGTTTGGCACTTGTTTGATGAAAATGATGCCTCTGAATTGATCATCGATCGATGAGTAAAGTTCAAACCATTTACATTCACAACTTACTAGGTTATTGGGTATGTCATAGTCCTCTGTATTCCATGTTCAGAACAATGAGGTTTAATCACTCAAGAGTTTGGACATTTTTACCTCTGCTTGGTCCAGTTTAAGATCTTTGAGTTGCTTTTCAAGAACCTGATGAACAAATCTGGATTGTTCGTTGGTGTTCAGCCTCCAAACAAGCAGTTACACACTCCGCACATCGTCCAAACAGCAACCGAAGTCTATTAGAAACACGTGTTCTCAGTGTTTGAATCATGACTTGAAATTGTGAGCAGCATCATAATCAGAATTCAGTCCAGTGACTGAAGCGGTAAGCCCTTCAACAAAACGGGAATGGGACTCGCGTAAATTTGTATTTTGTGGTTACAAGTTGATCCGCTGCATCACAAATTCCATCAGCCTAAGATATGCTTTTATCTGCTTTTGTTGCTACATCAACAGTCGCTGGAAATGATTTGCCGAAAATTCATCGAAATTTTTGATCCTCCCGTCGCCATTTTGTTCTGTTTCCCAGTATATCACTGAATCTTCTCCTACAATATCTTTTTCAATTATTCCAGTCAGAAGACCATCGTTCAGCACAAGAGTTCATTTAATGCGCCAGCTAGCTACGCTGAATAATTAAAAATGTGCCAAATTCATAATTTTGTGCCGGACCTTTATTATTCCAGAATGAAAAACATGGGGATGCCGATAAAGTAGATTGTAACATTCTGTCAGTTACTCTTTTCTTAACACGTTCACACAAGAAGTAAAACGTAAAGGAAAAAAGAGAATATTGAAACAATAGGCACCAACCACCTCTACTTCGAAACTCGATGGTGAAAATTGTCTGCGGTTGGATACATTTGTTACTTGTCTTTATTTCTGTCAATAATTTATTATCAGAAGACTGTGTGGACCGTCGTAAATAATGTCATTACACTTCGAGATATTGGACTTCATGGAATACTTCGCCCAAGGAAGTCTGGCGGAAAACTGTATAGAATGTATTCAGTTTCCAACCGACTGTGGACCTACAGTGAATTTTGTAATTTTCCTTAAAAAATTCACATAAATTTACGTTAAAAGTAAACTCTAATAATTTTATTTTGATGGATTGTTATGTGGAGGAAAGTTTGAGCTCACCCGGCTTGATATGAATTTTTCAAACTCGTGAAGGAAGAGTCTACAGTCTTGTCGCGCAGCAAAATCGAAATAAATCCACCAAGAGTTCAGAGATCAAACAGTTGCATAAATTGGCAGATCACAAAAAAGTCTACATTATTTTCGTTGCTTCTAGCATGAAGCAAAAGTAGATTTTTTTGGTTTTTCTTTGGGTGGATCAACAGGGCACGTCGTTGTGATTGTTCGCTTTCTGTAACAGTGAAAATGCCAAATGGCAATCTGTTACAACACGACACTTGCACACAAAATATACATGAACTAAGAAGTACTAGTCGGAGAATTTATGACTAGTGTGATGCACCTACTTGACTCAAAACACTCGCCAGAATCCGGGTGAACTGATCACAAAACTGTGGCCCAATGGCCCACCCCTTCTTGGAATTCGTTTCTTCACCATCCAATGGACGTGATTTCTGCATTTGATACAGTACACCAAACCCGGTTTTCGAGCGTATACAGCGACATATTATCTGTAGGGCACGAATGCTAATTGAAAATGAAAGTTAAGCTGAGTAAATTCAATCAAACGGCCTGTTTAAGGTCAATGTCAATGATAAAGATAAAAGATAAAAGTGACATTATTCTGATTTTAGCAGTGCTCAAGTCTTCCCAATCTTCTTATCAACCCAATACGTACACTCGTGGATAGGTGGGATCACTGAACCATAGTGAAAAAAATAATGAAAGCTAATGACAACATTAGCATTACCTGCTGCTGCTTTGATTCCAGTTTTGAAACCTGATGTTAATTTGCTCAACCAGCTAGATAATTCTTATTAGAGAAGTTCTTTCAAGCTATCATATTAAAAGTATCATTTTGGTGGTGATAGCACTTGTGTAAACCTACTATGCTTGGTGAACAAAGTAAGCAGTTAGCAAAAAATAAGTTCATTGTGCAACTAGAGCACTGGGTGTTGGAAAATGGTCTGGTAAGTAAAAATGTAAGAATACAAGTGTTATCTGAAACAAGTTTCAAAAAGACTATTGTGATTGACAAGAATATACATATGTTCAGCCGCTTCTGATGCCAGATTGAGTGTCAAACAAATCGCAGTGCAATAACCTTTAAAAATGAGAAATTCCCATGATATTTTTGTGTGTGGAATATTGCCAGGTTGCCCAGATGAAGGCAATGGAATTTTCTTGGGGAATTCACAACTGGAGCCTTCGGTTATCCAAAGCTTGACGCGCAAGACAGCGGGGCAGTGTGTAAATCCACAATCCATTGGGAGCCGGTGTCCAGTTTATCGGATGATAAATCCTCGGGACGGTGTCACACCTCAAAGTTGCCCAGTACACCACTGTGCCCAATCGAGTCATTGACCACTAGCACAACGACGGTGTGTGTTGTTTGTACGCCTCCTTGATTGGTTTGGAATCAGGGTTTTTAGCCAGCTACCCTATGATTCACCGACCCGGTTACAACCCCGGATTTTGACTTTTCGTTCACTCACTTCGTGAATTACACTTCTTTGATAAGCGATGGAATGATTTGTGACAACCGACTTATCTCACTCGCTTTGAGAGCACAAGCGATCATTAATTTCATATCGTTGCTTAGCATTAAATTTAAATTTACGAAATCCCAACCAGGACATTGAGCGATACACAACAAAAAATAACACACCGCAAAATTTTACGTGAAATCTATGTAGCGTCGAACTTCATCAAGTCTACCCTCACTTCATGCACGTTTGTGATGTGGAGAACCGAATGAATGATAGCGCTTACCGAATGGAAGGTTTCGTGGTTGTCAGGTAAACTTCAGTCAGCACCGGCAATGCACTTTTAAGAAGTTTAGCAAAAGAGGTGTTCCGCTCGACAGATAAATCTTGTTTGAATCCTAAATTAAAACATTGAAAAAAGCACGAATCCGGAACGCTTACGTTCTTCAGCTTTTTGCAATATTTTTAGCAATTTTCTGTACCGTTCCGGATTAGAACCACGCTCATAAGCAGCATTCAATGCTTGCAAAGCTAGTTGTGTTGGTGTACGACCATAAATGTCTCGCAGTCGTGGATTGGCCAAATTGTTTTCCGTTCCATGTTTTTCTGTATACGGTGTCAGACCCAGCAATGTTTTCACTATCTGTAACTGGCCGTAAGCAGCAGCATAATGTATGGTGGAGCCAATCAAGCCTGAATTGACATCAACTCCCCGAGTGCACAGAGCGGCAAAAGCAGCACCGTTCCCGGTTGCCATAGCCCAAGCTAGAAGGGGTTGGCCGGAGGGATCTATCCAATTGCAACTGATTTGAGCGCTTTGTAATATTGAAATTAAATCCGCTAGACAGAACAAAAGTACGAAACGGAAAGAAATTATTAGAGTAAACGCGGCACAAACCATTTACGGAAACAAATCCTTATAGTCATTTCGGGGTGCAGGTGATCCAGTGGTGTGCTCCAGGCCCTACGGTCTGAGGTTCGAACACTATCTCTGAAACACATTTTTGGTTCTCCTGCTCAACACCACATCTGTTCCACGGGGGCCGAATGCAGTTTGCTACTCCAAGTCAAAAGGCTTTGACCGCCGGCTCCCATAACCGAGCAGCATTTGCCTGTGGCAATTGGGCCTAAGCAATTCTAATGTTCACTAGACTAAGTTGGGTATTAGAAAACTAACATTTAACCTCGTAATTTAATACTCGAATCTGGTTGCGAGATTGTGGTGAGCGGCATTGAGAGAATTCACGTGAGGTCCTCAAAAATTAATTGTTATACCGTAGGCGTATACAAAATTTTATTAATAATTCACTAACACTTAGCGTAGCAACACTTTTCACGCAGAATGATGAGCGCTAAAATAAATCAGCATCAACCAATCAGAAGTCCACCACTTTAATTAACACATGTCATGTACTAATTGCTTTCTTCTAAATAATGAGCAGTTTTTTTCAAATCGAACTGTTTTACGGAAATGAACCTTGCCATTCTTAACACGTTTCAATCCAACCACAATCTATTTTATTTTAACAGGGAAGCGGAAAACAGGTTTTTCTCCGAATGAAATGCCACGGGCTCAGGAAGGATAGCATTTTGATATCTATCAAAAGGAAAAGGAGTAAACCTCATAGTTACGTGAGCCCATTGGTAAACCCGGATAACCGGTATATTAACTCCTGATACTTGGAACGGCAATCCTCGTGAAACTCAGTGCTACCGAACCAGACAATCACGAAGCTACCTACCAAAAAAATTGCACAGCGCTCAGTAACCGGCTGATGTTTCGGAATGGAAAAACACCTACGTCGATGATTAGAAAATTATGACTTATGCCATACTGGTTTTCAGAAATCCAAACTATTCTTATCGTAACTTCAAGTCCCTGAGAAACCTCCTGAATTTTTCTACTTGTGAAAGGTGTGGCTCCGATTACAATGGTACTGAAAGTCCCCTGTGTATTTTGTCATTGTTAAAAACGGTTAATCGAAAGGATTACATGATTGATTGAAGACTGTAGCGCTCATTCAGAATCGTGCATAATGCTCAGGTATACACCTACAGAGTAACATAAAGCTATGGAAACAATGCATGCTTGGGCTGTATTTAGGAACGTAAACCATCTGCTTACCCATATTCGCCCTACATGAAAGGCTAAATACCAGCCAGTGATGAAAACGATCCATTGCAACCCTTGGATCATCGGCTATTCCGAGTTGATCAAATGCTTGGCGTGCTGCGAGGAATATTCCTGGGGCAATGGAGCCATCAGTTTGGCTAATCGCAGAAGCAGCAGATGAGGATGAACCGAAAGACCGTAACGTGGGTAAACCGCAGCGATCGCGATTAATGAATGGCTCCAGTGGTTTGGGGCTGATCAGTCGAGCATTAATACATGCTTTCCACAGCCTGCGGAATCGTTTGTCGTGCTTACATTCACTACAGTTTAATCTCGAGGACCCCCCATGAATTTGATCACACTCCGGCGTAGCATGATTTGAAGATGAAGACAATACATGACTGGGGATACCCAGAGTTTCCCCCATGACTGGTATGTCTTCTGTCTGCACCATAGACATAGAAAGATTGAGGAGACCTTCGGCCAGGTGCAAGGTAGGTAGCAGGACATCATTGGTTGAGCTGCAAACGGTGATGGTGAATAAGAAGGTTTGTAATGAATTTCAATTCAAACTAAACAAAACAACTAAAATACAATTGTCAGTATTTCAAGTGACGTGTAGCCGTCTCAAGGGGGATTGTTATGTAGCTAAATATGGAAATGGGCGATGGCGGTTACGATTTCATCTGTTGCGCAAACTCTTAAATTCTGTGGGGCATTTATACCACGAAATATGACTAAAATCATTGGAGTACGTTTGTCAATGTTTCAGCTGAGAATTGATAATCGGCTTCAGGTCAGTCCAGCTCCAAAATAACACTTAGGGTAGGTAATTTGCTCTTTATCTAAACATTATATGAATTTTAAATGATAACCAAATTTCTCTGGTCCACTGTCCAAGTAAAAATAACGACTAGATCTTATTTTCCTCTGTTCTAAAGCCTTACCGAAAAAGACAAGAATCTAGCTTAAGTGATATTTGTTCTGATTTTGTAAGCCTAATACCTGCCAAATTTTTCCACCGGATCTTGAGAACGAGAGTTTATTTGATGGCTTTGTTCCTGCTCTTTGCCTTTGTTAGGTAATTTTTTCAATAATCAATGATTGCTTTAAATTCCTCCACTGAAGCAGCCATTCATGGTTACCTTCGTAATAACCAGTATTTTGGAAACCCGTTGTCTTTTAATGTCCTATTATGGATTAGGATCGATTTCATGAAGCCATTCTCATCTTTCTGTAGAAAACATCCGTGGGACGAATGAACTCAGTTGAAGCCGTCAAAAGTACTTTTCGACTTTATAATTACAAAATCGCTTTAATCCCCAAGGTCCTATGAGTTTTAACAGCTCGGATGTCTTTTTTTGACCCAACAAATCCGAAGAGACGACTGTTTCAACAATATATTTAATTCTTGTTAGTGCTCTAGTGAACGAACCTTTGTGAGGACTACTATTTCAGCCGTGATAACTTCTTCGTTCGCAAATAACTCATACAATCTCATGAATTTTTGAAATGTGAACTGTAACTTTTTCTTGAACATGATACAAATATGATACAAATAAATTGTGGAAGTTAATGGAATTTCAGACATTATAACTAAGTGCTTTTGCAACGAGAACCATCGTACGGAAACACTCTGACAGTTACCGCAATGAATAGCGTTCATATGGCTTCCGCGTGGACTGAAACGAAGCGAGGTAACAAATTGGCAATGCATCTACACAAATAACATAATCAAAAAGCGGTTAAGTATGACTCAAATTTACGGAACGAATAGAAATTATGGAATGCATAACTCATCGAGGAGTATTAAATGATCAAGAAACCGGTCCTACAAAGATCCACGGGTACCACCTTATGAAAAATGGTATATGAGAGAAATAAGACAGTAAAACAAAGTGCGAGGAGAGCGCTTTAATGATGTCTTTGCTACATAAGTTCGAGTTTGAAACTTTCGTCAAAACTGTTTTGTGAACTCACTCAAGACTGTTTGCCTTTGCAACATTCATTTTGCACTTTGCAGTCAAGGCCACCAAAGCAAACTGAAAGAGATTGGTCAACTTTGAACTGTCCGAAATAGACGCCAGTAAACTAGGATGACCGCGACATAAATTTAAAATTAGTTCAACCACCATGGCAGCTAGGTGTCCCGTTAAGTAAGCTCCGTCGTTCAAAGTAGATGTTGTTTGTGTGGTTGAATTATCAAATTCCGGATGAGTGAATTCTTCATCTGAATTTAATTCGCATTTGATGCCTGAAAATAAAACTGAAATTTTATGACTAGTGATCAAATAGGTAAAAACTTCAGAAATAAATGATACGTATAAATGTCTACATCAATGCCACTAAAAGCCCTGCGCTCTAATTACAGTGTCATTGGGTCGTCGGCGAAGATGGCCGTTGACTGTACACTTGTATATTAAGTAAATGAATAAGGAAGTATTGTGTTGATCCGAAAATGATGACCTAGAGTCTCAACACTTCAATGTGAATTCTTTTCATAGCTTCGTGATTGTAGGCAATATGCGTTTGGTTACCAATTAATTTCTAAAAAATTACTATACGATATCTTTTCTTCAGTGAAACCTTGTGAAATCGTGTATGGATTAAACAATATTAAAGTAGTGTCGCGAAAGCTTTCACGCTCAAAAACTTGCAGACTACAGTAGTAGCACAGATTTTTCAGTCATTTAGATCCCTTTGGTCATCTTATGGGAAGAGAATTACCATATCTTCTTCACACGCGCGCGCCCTTTGACTGGCTGCGCTACAATCTCGTGTTATCACATCTCATCAAATCTGAAGGATTTTTTGTTATTATTATGGCATTTGTTCGTCGATATACCAGATCGGAATTACT